AAAATTGCAAGTGAAATGAAAATGGGTTTGAGGGAGTTGTTGAAGGGATGTTGGCGTCGTTTTATACCTTCGAGTGGCGCAGGCAGCAGCCGCGATGCCTCAGGCGCTTAACACTCCAGCTCGACTTGAGCAGACACCTATGTCTATATTTAGCATTTCTGTCCAGTCGCATCTTGTAAGAGATTCAACTACCAACCTTAAAAACGAGCCTGATAAACATTCTATCTAAGCTTAATATCGTGTGTGTGAACCCATTTCATTTTCTCAACGAGTCCAGTCCGTCCAAACCGAGCAAAACTTCACTCAAACGTCCCGTTCTAGCCCACTCCAAGTCATGTGTAGCAGAAGATTTCAAAATTGGTATAAGAATTGATTAGCAAGCAAATATTACGCCATTCCATGTCTATGCCCTCCCCCAGCGCAAGTCTTCCATTACAACATGCCGGAGTAAATCGGGGACCAAGCGGAAATTGGAGCGGGAAGAGACGACTGACAAAGCGATCCGAAGAGCGAATAAATTGAATCAAGAGATATAAAAAAAATATTATTTACGACATGAACTTCAAGAAACAGAACGTAAAAGAAATAGAAGAAAATACACATGGAAGCATAGGCATATAAAGGAAATATTTTGTCTTGCGGATCGAACTAATAGAAGGGGTTGGCGATCAGGGTCCCCCATTGTACTGCAGACAAATGGGTGACTGTCGAGATAGGTAGAGAAGTGGTTTGGGTAGTGGGGGATATCATACGGGTGCCGAATGTGGACATGTGCAAACTAGGCGTAAGAAGTGAAAGCGAGGGATTGCTGGAAAAGTTCCACCAAATGTTCACAGATCGCTCTTTCGCTCACTGCGACATGGTCATTGGCAGTAGGTATGGGAAGATGGTAAGGTATAGAGTGAGTACGAGGAGCGTATATAAAGTCAAGCAAAAGGACAAGAAGATAAGACAAATGGAGGGCCAAGTCCGCCATTCAAAATGCAATGAGCCTGCACGCAACCCATGGAAGCCTCAAGTGGATATTTTCGCCTGGCTCGCCAATTCGGGTCATATCGTACAGGGTATTCCATCGGATCCTCATTCGCAAACTTAGGGGAAAGACGGTTTTTTTCGAGCACAAATGGTATCGAACGAAGCAGACAAGTAAGCACTTATGCGAACTTCCGCGAGATTTTGGCAATGACTGCGGAACAACCCAAGTTAGTGTCAAAGTAATGAGATGAGAAATGCGGCATCTCCCAGGATAACAAAACATATGTGGCATCCAGTAACGTAAAATTCCCACATCGACCAGACCACACATGGATAGGAAACCTTCAAACCAACCCAAACATGCCCTCCGGACAAGGTATGGGCATTAGAGAAACACATACCATGCAACCCAACAACAGAGAAAATGAAACCCAGGCTCAATACCAACACGACGACAGGATCAACCTTCAAGCCAGGGCTCTCATCTGTATACAGCTTCAGCATTGTACCCGAGGAGCCGCCCGCACCAGCGGAGCGTGTTGATGCAGGACGTGCATTCCGGATAGATTCCTTGTGATCTGCAGCAGCGCGACGGCGCATAGCCGTGCGAGGTCCACCGGGGGGAGTAGGCGATGAGGGACGATGGAGGGCCGAGCCCGAAATGCCAGAGGAAGCACCAGAAGCCGACTTCGGACCTTCAGCTCCTGATTCGACACCTGATCCTGAAGCCTGCAATTTCGAGGACGCACAAGTTAGTAACGGGATTTTCTTCTCCTTTTGAAATCAATTCGAACCCTCGAGGAAAGTGACAAGCTCATTTTGTGGTGCAGAACAAAATGGTTGAGGCCCAAGGATGCTGAGATCGCTGTAGCTTCTTACCATGGTGTTGGACGGGCTCGTCTTGAATGAGAGGGTTGGTTGGAGAAGTCGTGAGGAGTTGCGACTTCTGAAGTACAAAGGGAAAAGAGAGGGCTTTAGGATTAGGATTGGAATGGGCGTCGCGGGACGAGCTGGTTGCTGTGGGAGGAATGGGAAGAAAAAGGGAGTGGAGAAGCTTTGACTGTTTCCAGAAAGAGGCCACGACGATGTATCAAGGGAGTGTGTACTGTCACGCTTGGCGTAATAAAACTGAAGATCTGGGCAGTTTTGTTCAGAATACCGGTATTTATGATTACCGATCAAAATTACCCACACTCCCGATTGGAGCTGGAGCAGAATATGAGGAGAGATGTGAAGGAGGCAGAAAACATGCAATCTTGATGGGAGGCTTTACCACTACACTAAAAAGGATCAATCCTTAAGGTAGGAGCCTATTCCTCAAGATATATATATGCGTGTTTCACAGGAGGTAACAATTATCACAAGGCTAACTTATGCCATGATCCATATATCAATATCTGGAGAGAATCCCACGCCCTTATTCCGGAAACGGTTGCTGTAATATCTCATTCCACCGAATTCTTCTGTACACTCCTCCCCTTATCCCGGGCAAACTTCTCTCATCGTCAACCGGTGTCTGAGAAACGATTAGCAGCTGCGGCTGCTGGTACTGTACAATCACATATTCCTGCAATGACTTGTTCTTGTGGAAACCGAAGCTCGCTCGGTAGTAATGCCCAAGCAAGGATATGTACGAAGTAGAGTTGTAAAAACCATAGCCAGTGCCTCCTTGCAGGCAGTAGAATCCATACGTCACAGTTGATTTCCCTAGACTGTCAGCCAGAGCAGAATCAAGGCCGTATTATTAGCCGCTCTCGTTTCATTCTCCCTGGTCTATAATCATATGGAACACACGTAAATTCCTTGGGGCATGATAGGTCATATCTGTTCCGCAAAACTTCATATCGGACTGAACATTGGAAGCTATTCATTCCGCCATATAGCAGCGGATGCCATGTGAGATACTACCACAATGGCACCATGAAAAGCTCCAGATCTGGGTTGGTCAGTCGCATATATAGCAAAGCAAGGGCCTGCCTTTTTCCGGCCCAATCCATTCAGTCCAAATTTTGCGAGGTCGTACTGAAGTCGCCTTGACGGTCGTGGTATTGGGAACCCGTAGAAATAGCGGTTTAATATAATATAACACGCGAAAATTCTTAGATATCCTGAGATAGAACCCTAAATTAATCCGCGATCGACAACGCAAGATGTATCATTCGTTTGTTAAGTCTGTGATATGGTTCTTCGTCACTTTGGTAATTTAGAAAAATAGCTCAGTAGAGGATTTTTCCGTGTGCAAGTTTGTTGATAATTTTTCACTCTTTTAGGACCATCAGACACAGCATAAAACCAAGTAACTAACAGAGATATCAGGGATTTGACCCACACCCTAATGGCCCATTTCCCACAGGAGTATTTTGTTACAGTCGAGTTTCCTTCGCAATGAAAGAAATGTCTCTTCGTGGACGCTGCATACATCTGCGCACGACTCCGGAGACTTGTTCCAGCTGCATGGAGAAAGCTCGAGACAGGGTTTTGCCAAGCGATTGGTATCCTGC